AAAAAAAAAGACACAAGCTAACAGAATAGATATGAAATCAGGATCCATCCTTCTGCTGCATACAAGAAACATACCTCATCTTCAAAGACAGACACTACCTCAGAGAAAAAGGCTGGGAAAAGGCTTTCCAATCAAATGGACTTAAGAAGAAAGCTGGTGCAGCTATCCTAATGTCTAACAAAATAGACTTCAAACTAAATTTAATCAAAAGAGATTGGGAAGGACATTACATACTCATCACAGGAAAGATCCACCAAGATGAAGTTTCAATTCTGAACACTTATGCTTCAAATACAAAGGCACCCACATATATAACAAAAGAAACGTTAGTAAAGCTTAAGTCACACATCAAACCCCACACATTAATAGTGGGAAACTTCAACACTCCACTCTTACCACTGGACTGATCTGCCAGACTGAAAATTAACAGAGAAATAAGGTATGTTTCTGATGTTATGATTCAAATGGATTTTTTTCCTTTTGATGTCTTTAATACAATCCCTTCTTTCCTATATAATTGGATATAACTAAAATTCAAAGGCCATTATCTGTTTTTGTAAGAAAGCAGACATTTCCACATCTGTTTTTCCTCTGAGGGGTAATGCCTTGTTTGAGAGAAACATGGGCAACAAAGATTAAGGATAATGATGACTGAACTTACCACCTTTTAACAAAAATCACAATGTTCCCATTCATGTCAAGATACCTGAGATTTTGTTTTCTTATCATCCCCAAACATTCACAATTGTTTGAGGACCACTAGTCAAGTACAGGAGTCTTTTGAAAAGATATGTGAACACAGTGCTGCAAATAGGCAAATTAAATTGGTAAAAAGATCAAATACACTGACAGCTCAAGATTTAGAAAGGCTTGCTCTTTGATTCTAAAATGTTATTTTCCTCAGAAATTGACAGTTTTCCCCCATAGTCAATAAAGTACTAATATAAAATTAATCTGCTCTTCAATGAGCAGATGAGTACTCCATTTAAATGATCATCACCGATCCCTGAGGTCGCTATTCTGCTGCCATTTAAGTGATGGATATTCAAGTGAATTTTTCTGCATAATTTGTGTTGTTGCTGAAGCACAGTGTAAGACAGATTCAGTCAGCAACTCAATAAAAATGCAAATTTCTTAAAATTATTGAAATGTACTTAAAAGTAAATAACATGCACACGAGCTTCTAAGTGTGCTTTCAATTTTGTTGTTGAAGGTAATCCATCTTCGATGTTTTCTGTTGCACATAGCTACTTCTCAAGTTTCCTCTTCTTCCCCCCTGGCCCACTGAGATCCATGTCTGAAACATCAGGAGGAGTATTTATTCCTGGTATCTGTGGTTCTACAAGGGCCATGGGGATTTTTTGATGTTGAAGAGTTGATGAATCTAATGTGATTTTCACTTTAACTTTATCAAACACATGGAACACTGTACCTTCTATTCTGAGTGAAGGTATCTCATCATCATAAGTAACCCGTGGCTTTGGTTTATCTTTTTCTTCAAAAAAAAAAAAAACACACACACACACACAAAAAAAAACTGTACCTTCTAAGCCATACTTTGGAATTAACACCACAATTGCATTCTTTCTTACAAAGAGAATATAGGCTTCTTCACTTACTATTCCTTTGCTTTTGAAAAACAACTGTAAAATACATACAATCTTGTTAGACGTCTTATTTTGAAATTTACAAAAATAATTTTGAAAATACCAAATGAACAAAATTTCCCACTCCCAGCACTACAAACAAAAGGCAAATACCTGGGTATGAAAAGTTACTGATGCACGCTGAGCATACTGAGCCATTTTATGCCGGAAATTGAGATTTTTACATATATCTGAAAGCTTGTGTTTATCTGTCAGCTCTGGATAAGTACTATCAGCCCCAATAGCCACAGCCAACAGCCGATGAACAATTATGTCTGCATATCTTCTAATGGGAGAAGTGAAATGTGTGTATATTGGGGAGGCTAAGCCATAGTGATGAAAGTCATTGTCCATCGCAGAACAGAAGTAGACAGCTTGCATCATACAGCGAGTGGCCAATATCCTTAAAAGAGTGTTCAGGTATGGGAAATCAGGGGATTCAGCCAGGTCCAAAGAATCAGCCTAAGACTTAGCTGTGTCAGTCTTAATTTCCAAATTCTTGGACTTGGCTGCCTTAACAAGAATCTCATAATTGGAGGGAGGTGGAGCTGGATGTTTTCGAAGCAGAGCATGTTCAGAAAATTCTTCATGAATCTTTTTTGCAACAGAAATATTTGCAAGTAACATAAATTCTCCCACCATGGAATTTGTTTCTCTCAGCTCCTTGGTCTGTAGATCTATTGGATCGTGAGTTTCACTGTCCATGTGGAATCGAACTTCTGGAGAAGACAGAGTCAAAGCCCCCTTTTCAATCCTTCCTTTTTTTTTTTTTTTTAGAATTTTAGCTAGTTTATTTAATCCACGGAGACTAGTGGTGATATTATCATTCATAGCTGCTGATCAATTCTCATCTGTGCTTCAGCATACGTAAGAGAAGCCTTTGAATTAATTACACTTTTGGTAAATCTTGTTTTTAAGGTTTCAGCATTATGATTCATTTCCCAAATACAGGAAAATGCCAACCTGTCAACATTGGATCTTAAGGAACATAAGTTAGAACTAAGCAACTCTGGAACCATGTCAAAAGAATATGGAACGCTTCACGAATTTGCGTGTCATCCTTGTGCAGGGGCCATGCTAATCTTCTCTGTATCGTTCCAATTTTAGTATATGTGCTGCCGAAGCGAGCACTGAAATGGATTTAATCAATATCTATAGAACATTCCACCCTAACAAAATAGAATATACCTTCAACTCAGCACCCCATGGAACCTTCTCTAAAATCGATGACATACTCAGTCACAAAGCAAATCTCAACAGACACAAAAAATTGGAATAATCTTCTGTATTCTATTGGACCATCGTGGCTTAAAGTTAGATTTCAACAACAACAAAAATTATAGAAAGCCTACAATCTCATGGAAACTGAATAATGCCCAAATGAATCACCAATGGGTCAAGGAAGAAATAAAGGAAGAAATTAAAGACTTCCTAAAATTCAAAGAAAATGAATGTACTACATACCCAAACTTATGGGACACTATGAAAGAAGTGCTAAGAGAAAAATTCATAGCACTAAATGCCCACATAAAGAAGATGGAGAAATCTCACATTAGTGACTTAACAGTACACCTGAAAGCTCTAGAACAAAAAGAAGCAAACTCACGCAGGAAGAATAGATGCCAGGAAATAACCAAATTGAGAGCTGAAATAAATAAAATAGAAACAAAGAGAATAATACAAAGAATCAATAAAACTAAGACTTGGTTCTTTGAAACAATCAACAAGATAGACAAGCTCTTATCCAATTAACCAAAAGGCAGAGAGAGAGCATCCAAATTAACAAAATCAGAAATGAAAAGGGAGACAGAACAATAGGCAACAAGGGAATCCAGAGAATCATCAGGTCATACTTCTAAAACTTGTACTCCACAAAACTGGAAAATCTAAAAGAAATGGACAATTTTCTGTATAGGAACCATAAACCAAAATTAAATCAAGACTAGATAAACTATTTAAATAGACCAATAACCCCTAAGGAAATAGAGTCATTAAAAGTCTCCCAACCAAAAAATGCCCAGGTACAGATGGTTTCAGTGCAGAATTCTACCAGATTTTCAAAGAAAAGCTAATTCCAATACTCTTCAAATTGTTCCACACAAAGGAAACAGAAGGAACATTACCAAATTCTTTTTATGAAGCTACAGTTACCCTGATACCCAAACCACACAAAGATGTGAAAAAGAAAGAGTATTACAGACCAATCTCCCTCATGAACATTGATACAAAGATACTCAATCAAATATTGGCAAATTGAATCCAAGAACACATCAAAAAAATTATCCACCATGACCAAGTGGGCTTCATCCGAGGGATGCAAAGATGGTTCAACATTCGAAAATCTGTCAATGTAACACACCATAAAAACAAACTTAAAGGGAAAAAAACCACACGATCATCTCATTAGATGATGAAAAAGCCTTTGAAAATATTCAACACCCCTTCATGATAAAGGTCCTAGAAAGACCAGGAATACAAGGAACATACCTAAACATAATAAAGGCAATTTACAGCAAGCCAACAGCCAATAGCCAACATCAAATTAAATGGAGAGAAACTCAAAATGATCCCACTAAAACCATGAACAAGACAAGGCTGTCTGCTCTCTCCATATTTATTCAATATAGTACTTGAAGTTCTAGCTAGAGCAATAAGACAACAAAAGGAGATCAATGGGATAGAAATTTGAAAGGAAGAAGTCAAACTTTCACTATTTGCAGACAATATGATAGTGTACATAAGTGACTCCAAAAAATTCTCCAGGGAATTCCTACAGCTGATAAACTCCTTTAGTAATGTGGCAGTATACAAGATTAACTCAGAAATATCAGTAGCCCTCCTATATACAAATGATAAAAGGGCTGAGAAAGAAATCAGAGAAACATCACCCTTTACAATAGCCACCACAAATAATACAAAATACTTTGGGATAACTCTAACTAAGCAAGTGAAGGACCTGTGTGATAAGAACTTTAAGTTTCTGAAGAAAGAAATTGAAGAAGATATCAGAAAATGGAAAGACCTCCCATGCTTGTGGATAGGTAGGATTAATGTAGTAAACATGACATTCTTACCAAAAGCAATCTACAGATTCAATGCAATCTCTATCAAAATCCCAACACAATTCTTCACAGACCTGGAAAGAATAATACTCAACTTCATATGGAAAAACAAAAAACCCAGGATAGCTAAAAGAATCCTGTACAATAAAGCAACCACTGGAGGCATCATGATCCCCTGACTTCAAGCTCTTATAGAGGTACAGTAATAAAAACAGCTTGGTATTAGCAGAAAAACTGACATGTGGACCAATGGGATCAAATTGAAGACCCTGACATTAATCTGCACATGTATGAACACCTGATTTTTTACAGAGAAGCCAAAACTGTATGATGGAAAAAAGAAAGCATCTTCAACAAATGGTGCTGGCATAACTGGATGTCAACATGGAAAAGACTGCAAATAAATCCATATCTGTCATTATGCACAAAACTCAAGTCCATGTGGATTAAAGACCTCAACATAAATTGAGTTACACTGAATTTGATAGAAAAGAAAGTAGGAAGTAGTCTTGAATGCATTGGCACAGGAGATCACTTCCTAAATATAACACCAATAACTCAGACACTGAGAACAACAGTTAATAAATGGGGCCTCTTGAAACGAAGAAGCTTTTGTAGAGTGAAAGACACAGTAAATAAAACAAAACAACAGCCTACAGAATGGGCAAAGATCTTCACCAACTCCACATCTGACAGAGGGCTGATCTACAGAATATATAAAGAACTCACGAATCTAGACGTCAAAATACCTAACAATCCAATTAAAAATGGGCTACAGAGCTAAACAGAGAATTCTAAAAGGAAGAATCCCAAATGGCTGAAGAAAGGAATTGTTCAACATCTTTAGTCATCAGGGAAATGCAAATCAAAATGACTCAGATACCATCTTACACCTGTCAGAATGGCTAACGTCCAAAACACTGAAGACAGCTTATGTTGGAGCGGATATGGAGGAAGAGGAGCACTCCTCCAGTGTTGGTGGGAATGCAAACTTGTACAGCCACTTTGGAAATCAGTATGGCGGTTTCTCAGAAAACTGGGAATCAGACTCCCTCAAGACCCAGGTATATCACTCTTGGGCATATACCCAAGGATACTCAATCATATCATAAGGACACATGCTCAACTATGTTCTTAGCAACATTATTTGTAATAGCCTGTAGCATGAATTTTAGAAGGTGTTATTAATAAAATCAAACCTGATGCCAGGTATTGGGGTGAATGCTGGAAGATCCAGAAACAGAACAGGCAATAGCTACCTCACCTTGCCAATTCCTCAGCTGATCCTGTTTCCTCAGACTGGATGCCTCTCAGCTGAACTGTGCTGCTCAAAAGTCTAAAAGTTTAACCAGGCTCTAATTCCTGCTCCTCATGCCTTATATATCTTTCTGCTTTCTACCATTACTTCTTGGGATTAAAGGCTCACTTCCTGGGATTAAAGGCATGAGTCACCATGCCTGGCTGTTTATAGTGTGGCTTTAAACTCACAAAGATCTGGATAAATCTCTGCCTCCCAAGTGATAGGATTAAAGGCATGTGTGCCACCATTTTCTGGCCTCTATATCTAGTGGCTGTTCTGTTCTCTGACCCTAGATAAGTTTATTAAGGTGCACAATATTTTGGGGAACACAATATCACCACAATAACCAGAACCTGGAAACAACCTAGATGCCCCTCAACTGAAGAATGGATTAAGAAAATGTAGTACAATGGAGTACTACTCAGCAAAGAAAAACAATGACATCATAAAATTTGCAGACAAATGTATGGAACTAGAAAATATCATCCTGAGTGAGGTAACCCAGACTCAGACATTGCATGTACTCACTCATAAGCGGATACTGTAATGCCTGCGTCCTGAGTCCTGCAACCAGACTACCAAGGAACCAACTTCCATACAACAACAAAAGCTGTCTTTATTTCAGCCAAGCCTGGCAGGGACTTTGCCCAACACTCCCAGTAAGTACAGGAGAAAGCCCCCTAACACTCATTACAAGGGGGTTATATAGGAATAGTTTACATGCAGTGGTTTACATATCTTAGGATTGGATGAGGGACCTGGGGTGAGGTAGGTCTTTGAAGTTACTGGCTGAACTATAATCGTGATGTTACTAACTGCTGACAGGATGCAGGGTATCTACAGAGATGTAAATTTTTACTCCCTATATCCTGTTTTGCTGAGTCCAGGATATATACATTTAGATTTATTGTTCAAGCCTTATCTTCACACCAGTTCAATCTCTGGTCAGATCTAAAACTGCTACTCAGCAAATATCTTTGGGGGGGGTATCATCTTTCAAGAGAACTACTAATTTTTCCCTTTCAGATACTAGATGTAAATCAAAGAATAACCTGACTGCAATCTACATCTTGAGGGAGGCTAACTAGCAGAGAGGGCCCTAGGAAGGACGCATGTATCGCCCAGCAAAGGAGAAATAGATGAGGTTTACATGAGCAAACTGGGGATGACAGGGGGTAATGGAGGGCAAGGGAAGGGGGATGAGAAGGGGGAATAGGAGGTTAGAGCTAGAACAGGGACATAGTGGGAGAGCAAGGAAAGAGATACCATGATAAATGAAGACATCATGGGAACAGAGAGAAACAGAGTGCTAGAGAAGTTTCCAGGAATCCACAAGGATAACCCCACATTAAAACTACTGGCAATAGTTGAGAGGGTGCCTAAACTGGCCTACTCCAGTTTTCAGATGGCTGAATACCCTAAATGTCATCATAGAGCCCTCATCCAGTGACTGATGGAAGCAGATGCAGAGATCCATGCCCCAGAAGCAAGGACAAGATCCCAGAGTCCAATCGATGAGAGAGGAGGGATTCTATGAGCAATGGACACTGAGATCATGATGGGAAAATGTACAGAGATGACCAGCCAATCTAGTGGACACATGAATTGTGGACAAATAGCTGAGGAGCCCCCATGGTACTGGACTAGGCACTCTGGACAGTTGTTTAGCTTGAAATGTTTAGGGGGTCCCAAAGCAGAGGGATAAGACTCATCCGTGATGCATGAGCCAGCTATTTGGAGCCCATGCTGGGACACTTTGCACAGCCTTGGTGCAGGGAGGGAGGGGCTTGGACCTGCCTCTACTGAATGTAATAGGCTCTGCTGACTTCCCTATGGGAGACCTTGCCTTGAAGAAGGTGGGAATGGAAGTAAGTTCCAGGGGAAGTCTGGGGGCAGGAGGAGGGAGGAGAGGGGAATCTGTGGTTGGTATGTAAAATGAATAGGAAATCTCTTAATAGAAATGAAAAAAATAAAAATAAAAAACAAATCAAACAAAATAATAGGACTTAATTTGCATTTTTAATAGAGCTAAAAATAATCTATAAAAAAAGAAGTCATTAACCTAACATCCCAGTATTAAATCATGTTGACATCATATCATGTCTCCAGTGTGTTATGAGACCAGCATTAATACACGTGCCCACATACAAATACACATACACACACACACACACACACACACACACACACACACACACACACACACACACACACCAGTAGGCCTGCAATATTCTGGTAGCCATCTGAATCATGAAGCAAAATACAGAGACAAACAGCTAGATGATAGACAGATGGGAACTATCCCCCAAAGGCTGATCTTGCAAAATCAGAGCTGACCTGGGCTCATTAGTATCAGATGTTGACTCTATGGGAAGCAGGAGAAGTGGAGGCTCAGGGAAGAGTGCACTGTGGAGCACAATTCTCTCTAAGTGTCAAGTTCCCCTTTGGTATCTAGGAGTGATTACTGAGGCAGTGTCTTCCAGACAGTGCATCTAGACCTGGCCCCTATTGGTCCAGTTGAATAGCAACACCTTACTCAAAATTGTCTACTATACTTCCTGGTTTCCACCAGGCCAGGTCCCAATCTTCATTCTATCCTTCCAGTCTTTCTCCTGTCTTGGATACTTTCATCAGGAAGCCAAAAAACAGGTTGAGGGAGAGGTGAGTGTGGCATATAAGAGGATTGAAAAGGACCTTTCTTTACATGGGGTCTCCTCATCTTTTCAAGTATCATGCTTTAAATGAAACTACAAAGGATTGCTAAGAGCCGGTTGTAGAATAATAGGCACAATTTGAAATCAATGATATAATAATAAACATTTCATATGGCTATGAATAGCTATATATTTAAAATCATAGACAATCCTTGGATAAGTCTACAGAATTCATAGACGATAGTATATATGAGCAATTGCCTCCTGGGAAAAGAAAAGAATCTAGCATTGAATGTAACTTTGAAATTTTTATATGACTGTTTCACCACCCAAAACACTTGTGCTACATCAATCCAGTGTGCTTCCGCACCCCTCCAGTTCACCCAGTCCCCCTTCATCAATCCAGTGTGCTTCAGAACCCCTCCAGATCACCCAGTCCCCTCTTCCAACATTGTTTCTTGAGGCATTAGGCTATCACCCTGAACTGTAGTAAATTTTTGGATCACTTACTTTATCGGTTCACTGAGCCACCTTTAAAGCCATTCCTGTCTCCTTTGTCCCGAACTCATTCTTAGAGTCCCAATGACAAAGGAATGCCATGGTTCATTAGCTTTTAGTCTCTCATTCAGAACTCTCATAATGTTGAAATTAGTTTATATGCTCACTGGCCACAACTCGGGAGAGTATTGACTTTTATTTTCATTGGGTTGCCTATAAGGAGCTAGAGCCTCTGCTGAGGAAAAGAAGAGAGAAAACTGAGTGTTTCCCAGAGCCTACAAGGCTGTGGGGATGAAGAGCACCTGAGTATTTCCCAGAGCCTACAAGGCTGTCAGGGGGAGCATGCCTTTGGAAAATACAGTCCTGGAAAATACAGAGTCATTTTTTATTAATTGCAGTAAAGAGAAAAGAAGTCAAATATTTAAAGAAATTTGTGTTCCTTAGGGTGTTGATTTCACGCCAACAGAAAAGATGAGTAAGGCTTGAGTCTTTGTGTCTCCTTTTCTCGCAGTATACTGAAAAACAAAAAAGTGTCTTTTAAAATTGGAATATGTTTTCCAAAACTATTTTTAGAAATTTTGAATCTCTTAAAATCTTTTTGCAATTTTCAGTGGTCTAGACAGCCTAAGCATGACCTAGACTTAGCTCACCTCCCTCACTCAGGGACAGATGATACACTGTTGCCTGTTCTGACACCTGCTCTTCCTCACTGGTCCCATCAGGGCCCTCA